AGAGACACAGACAGAGACACAGACAGAGACACAGACAGAGACACAGACTGCTTACCTGGCAGTGAGAGAGTAGCACATGCCTCCTTGTTCTTGTTGTTTTTGTCTTTTTTAAATTTCGGGACAAGGCGAAACTTGGCACTCCGACTGCGTTTTGAAAAGTCCGTCAGAGGACCCTGAAAACAGAGACGGGAGAGGAAGTGTCATGTTAGAGCTGCAAATAACTCAGAACGTCGCCACCTGTCTGCTGCACTTTCCTTTCACTTAAATATTGTTTATATTATATAATAATTTTCATATTTCCTGAATGAGTCGTAAATGTTTCTAAAATGTAAAAAGTCAACATGTAATATACTTTATGAAAAAAAACATAAATAAATAATTGAAATACATTTTTCTTTATGAAAACAATAAACTGAAACAACTGAATAAAAACGGTTCTTTTCTCAGAACATTTGTTATTTTTCAGAACTGAAATTCCAGGTTTTCAATGTGAGAATCAGGATCTGGTTCAGAGTCAGATGGATCCAGTTTCAGTTTTGATCACAAGCAGAGTCTCTGTTCACCTCTTGGTCTGACGGGTCAATGACGGGACACAACCAGGGAACGTCCGCCAGACGACGCAGCTGCTGTGCCACTGAGTTCAGAGCTGTGTTCAACTGCTCCTGCTGAGGAGGATCCAACTGCTGCAGACAAACAGACAGACCAGAGTCAGGACCAGCACCTGGATCTGGACCTGGTAATAAGCTCACAGGTTTGGGTTTGAGTTTACAGAAATTATGATAATAAATATAAGTTGTGAGTAAACTTTGGCATAAGTCTTTGAAGGGGACATGAAGACATGAGGACACGTTACCATGGACATGTTCCCAGTCAGGAGCAGCTCAGTCTCACTGAGTAAAGCTTTGACATTATTCACCATATGAACCACCACACTGCAGCTCAGAGCCTGAGGACACACAGAGACAAGATGTCTTCATACAGTTCAGTAAGACGGCAGTAGTTCAGTCCATAGAGACTTGGCTTGGGAACCGGAGGGTGGTTCCACACTTTTGATCAAGTCCAGCTTGGATCAAAAGTATGGAAGGTGGACTGGTAGCTGGAGAGGTGCCAGGTCACCTCCTGGGAACTGCCGAGGTACCCTTGAACAAGGCACTGAACCCCCCAATTTGCTTGCAGGTGCGCTCCTCCCATGCTGCCCATCCCTCCACCATCTCTCTCCATTGCATGTCTATGAGCCCTTTGTGTGTGGTCGTGTTTCAGGGTTGAAATGCGTGTAAAAAAATGAGTGAATAAAATTAAGAATTAATAAAGTATCTCTTCTCTTCTTAAGTCCAGCTGGAGGACAAGTACAGGAACAGACAGGACAGAAGGAACCAGGACAGTAAGAACCAGGGCAGTGGAGGACATGTCGATCTGATGTGTCATACCTCAGAGCTCTTTGAATTAGCGTAGACGACGTCCATGGCCTTGGAACTTGCGTTGACAGCGTGAGCAAGTTCCTGTTCCAATCTGTGATGAGACTGAGCGACCTCACGAATACTGAAGCATCAACACAGCACGAAACATTCGTCAGTATCTGATCAATATTTTATCAATGGACCTTATTCACCAAAATGTTTTTCATCAGACACTTTGTGACACCGACACAGAATTTAAGTTATACATATAAATACCTAATTCAAATATATATTAATACTGATAACGACTTCAACAGAGTTTAAAACATTGAATCCTGAGCTGGGCCCTGTGTTTACCTGTGGATGAGCGCCCCCGCTGCCTGACCCAACTCACTGACGAGCGACGCGTCGTCCTCAGAGACCATTTCAGGCTGGCAGGGGAGGGGGGGCTGTGGGGGGGGCGTTCGGGGAAACTCACACTTCTGTTTGTCCTCCCAGGATTTCAGGGTGCTCTCAAATGCCTGTAACCACCATGCATAAATAATTTTCATCTTCCTGGGATTTTATACAATTATACCATTTATGAGGAACAACAGCAGATCCTGATGTTTACATGACGCCGCACACGTCTCTCACCTGAACCTCAACCTGAATTTGAACCTGATCCACTCACCCGGTCTCTGGTCAGAGTCTGCGTTCTGTTCTTGTGGATGATCTTGATGTAACCTGGAGGCTGGATCCACGCCTCACCGTCCACCTGAACCGGAACACCCTCATCGCCCAGGATGGTGATCTTCACTGTCCGACACTGAGAGAGAGACAACGTCACAGACAAGTAGGTGGACATATAGACAGACAAGTAGGCGGACAGGTTTACCTGTGCGATGCGGTGGTGCTGGAGGTTGATGACTCTGGACACGGCCATCTGCATACTGCCGAACACCGCCACCACCTCCAGAATCTTATCGTCAAAGGACGGAGCAGTGAACGTCTGATGGAGAGAGAGACAGTCAGAGAGGAAGAGAGAGACAGGTGATGTCCAAACATCACAGACCACATGACTCTGTTCAGTACAGGGACAGGTAGAGAGACAGACAGGTAGAGGTCTTACGTCATCCTCTTTGGTTCCTCCCCAGAAGTTGGTTCCTCCTGCGTAACTCGGGATGTTTAACACTGCGATTCCCTGAAGACTGGGGAGGGGGATGGGACGCCCATCACACTGCGTGCGCACACAGACACACACACACACACACACACACACACACACACATTACAGTACATTTTACCTCATTATATATATAATTGTTGTTTCCACATTGATATTTGGACACTTCAGTCCGAGGTGGCGTTTAGCTGAGCTCATGTATCAACAGACTGAATGTAGTGTGAGGTGTCCTCAGGGAAACAGCAAGTCGACCTGTGACACTCCACCAACACCAACAACCTCTGCTCACTGACACAATCTCAACCACATGCCGCTGCTCTTCTTCATCTACAATCAACTGAAGTCGAGTAAAGTCATTTATATTTTTAAGATCTGAGTTGTTCGTCAGTGAATCTCCTCGTCTCACCTCCAGGAGAACCCTCTGCTCCAGGTTCTTGTAGGTTCTGTGCAACAACTCTTTGGTTCCTAGAACTCCGTACCACATCATGTTCTTAGTCCGACTCCTGAAATAGTAACACGTGATGTGTGAACATGTGAAACATGAACACGTGATGTGACAACATGTGATGTGTGAACACGTGATGCATGTTCACCTGCACTTCTCTGGATGTTCGTCTCTTTTGTTGTTAAAGTCTAGAGAAATTTTAGCATCAAGTCCGATTCCAAAGTAATTATTCATCACACATTTCTCGGTGTAACAGTCCCTGCAGACAGACAGGTAGAGATGGACAGACAGGTCAGACAGACAGGTAGAGATGGACAGACAGGTCCGACAGACAGGTTTTTATTCAGAATGTAATGAGCAGATCTTCTTCATCATCAGACTCACATGTTGTCGGGGTCACAGCTGAACGGGTCGGTGTTCACTAACAGACGACTGATCACTGAACTACTGGAAAGAGAGCCTGACGCACACACACAGACACAAACACACACAGAGACACACACACACGGAGAGACACACACACACACACTTCAATGTGTTTGTCATCATTTAGCATCAGCACATGGTTACCATGACAACTGGACTGACCTGGATACAGGATCTTTGTGTTGAGTGTGGGCATGTTCTCTCTACTTCCTGTCTGGACAGGAAGTGATGCAGAGCTGCCCAATGACAGGCTTCCTTTACTGATCAGCTTCTCACAGTGTGTCTTACTGACTGAAGAGACAGACAGGTTCAGACAGACAGACAGACTAACGGGATTGTCAGTGACAGTAATCAGTCAGTGTTTTCACCTCGCCGAGTGTTGTGCTGTTTGATGCTGTATGACGACCGCAGAGACATCTTGTCCTCCTCTAGCTCCTCCTCCTCTTCCTCCTCCACCAGACCCTCGTCTTCCTCCGCTCGGCTCAGAGAGAAAACCTGCTGATGCTGCGTCTGAGCGTTCTGCTCATCCACAGCTGAAAACACCAGAACGGAGGTGAGATGCCGCTCGTCACCAGACGTGCATGAAGACGTGTGCGAGTGTCGTACCTTTCTCTGTGTGCTCGATGATCTGCCTGATGGCTTTCTTCAGACTGTTGGCTCGCAGCATCAGCTGCTCTCTGGGTTTAAACATGGCGGCAGACGACGACATATTAGCCCGTGTGGAGCAGGGGGCGGAGCTTAGCGGGTTATGAGGAGGAAAAGGAGGAGGGGGGGGCAGCACAGCACCATCTAACTCCTCCTGCTCCTCAGCAATGGTGGGGGGTGGAGCAGGGGGGAGGACGGCAGACGACTGAGACTCTTCGTTCAGCGTCTTCAACAACGAGTCGAGTTTCTCCTTCAGTACACCACACTGAGAGAGAAAAACACGACTCATCAGAGAAACAGAAAAATGACTCATCGAATGAAGTGAAAAATGATTCGTACCTTCTTGGCCATGGCGTCTGACTCCTCAGAACTCTCCGTGTTCTTCTCATAAGCTTTTCCAACACGAGCCACAAAATCCTTCACCGTCTCACACAGAACCCTGAACACACAGAGTCAGAGTCAGAAGTAGAACTAGAGTCAGAACCAGAACCGGTTAGAATCAGGGTCTGTGAACTTAGGCAGTCGTACTTGGCAGAGGAGATGACAACAGAATGCTGGTCTGAGGTCAGGATCTTGGAAAGGTGAGCAGCCACTGAGTCCTCATAGGTCAGAATCTGCTGAACCTGCATCACAGGACACAAACACCAGGGGGGAGTAGAATCCGTTATCAAATATTTGTTACCACCAGATTTATATTTTAACCGCTTTTCTTCAATTGATCTTCTGTACTGACATCACTAGTTTGATCCTCATCAACTTGTCTTTAAGACTCAAATGGACTTTTTAAGTTAGTTTTCCCTTAATTGACAGTTCCATATTAAATCAGACGAATGTCTTTGTTCACCGGTTACGAACCACAAGCTTTTAAGGTAGCTGTAATTAAACCTCTGCTTAAAAAACCCACTCTTGATCCAGAGGTTTGAGCTCATTACAGAAAGGGGCTAAAATCTCTGGATCAACCTTCAGCTACCAGGCTCCTCTCCTGTGGAACCAGCTCNAACCTTCAGCTACCAGGCTCCTCTCCTGTGGAACCAGCTCCCACTCTGGGTTCTAGAGTCAGACACCATCTTTACATTTAAAGTTAAAGTTAAAACTTTCCTCTTTGATAAAGTCTATAGTTCTGGATCAGGTCCTGAACCATCAAGTTATGCTGCTATAGGTCTAGACTGCTGGGGGAACTCCCATCATGCACTGAGGGAGATTTCCCATCAGGCCCCAAGCACTTCTCTTTCTCTCTCTGTGATGTCATTTCCTGTTACCTCGGAGTCATCACTGCAGTCCTCTGTGACAGTGGAGGAAGAGTGTTGCCGTGGAAACTTGGTCTCATAGACCATTATGCTCCATCTGCAGAAGAAGAGAAAGGTCAAAGGTCAACATGTAACACCTGTCTCACCTGTCTGACATCAGTGACCTGTCTCACCTGTCTAACATCTTGGTGCTGGCTCTCTCCAGTTTCTCCAGGATCTGTGGCAGCTGAGTGTCGTCATCACAGGCTGAACCCCAGCCCAGAACCCGTGCCAGATCATTCCCAGTCCCCAGAGGAAGAACCCCGAGCTGACACTGAAACAAATGTATGATAGAGCTTTGGTCACACACACTGCGAAGACATGAACACACTGCGAAGACATGAACACACTGCGAAGACATGAACACACTGTGAAGACATGAACACACTGTGAGGACATTAACACACTGTAGGGACATTAACATACTGTAGGGACATTAACACACTGTGGGGACATTAACATACTGTAGGGACATTAACACACTGTG